TGCAAGTGTGTCATGTGTGGAGAAGGACCCTCTAGCTAGCTTATCACCCATCAATTCACCCAATTTCGTGCCAAACTTGTTTAAGTCTTTAATTTACTTGTCTTTACTTTAAATTCGTGAAAAACTCAATCCCCTTTACTTTGTTGTGTCAAATTAGTTAAAAGCTGTCCAATTTGTGTTTTTAAGTGTTTTGAGTCAAGTTAAAGTTAGAATTCGTCCAAATCACCCTTTAGTGTCTAGTTTGAGTCTATTTGATTGTTTTGTGCTGTTTTGAGTCATTCTAGTTTGTTTTGAGTTCTTTGAGTCTAGTTCAGTGTTTTCAAACCTATTTTTGTGTTTTTAAGTCAGTTTAGAGTAGATTAGCAATCCCTCTTAATTCCCGACCTAGAACGATCCCTACTTGCATTTATACTACAATTGTCAACAAGAGAGTTTAAGTTGAGTGCTAGTTTATATCACATCAAAATGCACCTGGAAGAATTGATGTCCCTGTAAGACAAAATAAAGTGGCAGCGAATGATTCATTCAGTGCACGCTTGAAGCGTGGTAGACCCCCAAGTTCAGAAGATTCAGCCCTTCGAAAGAGAAAGATGAGGGCACAACTGAACCCAAATGAAATCATTTAGGAAAAGAAAATGAATGATAAATCCACAATTCAAGATTTTGAACTTTCAAAAAAGGAAAATGTCCTTGATGAGACATATGTCCCTGAAGAGACAGAAGTACATGAAAGCAAAGAAATCTTCATAAATTATGCATGCACTAACGAATTATGGGATCGAAATGAAATAATCATCGACGACATGTTCACATTCGCAGTAGCCATTGAAATCATATTAAGCGATGATATTGAGCCCCTCTCTGTTGATGAATGCAAATAGAGACAAAATTGGCCTAAGTGGAAAGATGCAATCCAGGCAGAATTAAATTCCTTGGAAAGGTGAAGTGTTTTCGGACCAATAGTCCAAACCCCACCTGGTGTAAACCTTGTGGGTTACAAATGGGTATTCACAAGAAAACACAATGAGAAAAATGAGATTGCAAAATATAAAGCACTACTCGTTGCACAAGGTTTTTCATAATGACCTGGAATTGATTATGTAGAGACATACTCTCCTGTAATGGACGCAATTACGTTCCGTTACTTAATAAGTTTGGTAGTTTCAGAAAAACTTGACATGTGACTTATGGATGTCATCACTGTGTATCTATATGGAAAATTAGATACTGACATATATATGAAAGTGTCCTAGAAAGACTTAAGTTGCCTGAAACGACTAATAAACCACGAGGTATACTTTCAATCAAATTAAGGCGCTCATTATATAGGCTGAAGCAATCTGGACAAATATGGTATAATCGTCTCAATGAGTATTTGATCAAAGAATGATATACCAACAATGTCATTTGCCCTTATGTGTTCATTAAGAAATCAAATTCTGGATTTGCTATAATGGCAATATATGTCGATAATATGAACCTAGTTGGAACCCCTGAAGAGCTCAATAAAACTGTTGAATATCTGAAAAGCGAATTTGAAATGAAATACCTTGGAAAAACAAAATATTGTCTCGGCCTTCAAATCAAGCATTGTGCTAATGGAATTTTGGTCCATCAATCAGCTTACATTGAAAAAATCCTGAAGCAATTTGGCATGGATAAGGCTTATCCACTTAGCAACCAATGGTCGTTGAGTCTTTGAACACTAAGAAAGATCCATTCCTTCCAAAATAAGATGATGAAATGGTCCTTGGTCCAGAAGGACCATATTTAAGTGCAATATGTGCTTTATTGTATTTAGCACAATGTACTAGACCAGATATAGCTTTTTCAGTCAACTTATTAGCAAGATATAGCTCTGCTCCAACAATTCATCATTGGAAAGGAGTCAAAGATGTATTGCGATACCTTCGTGGGACAACAGACGTGGGCCTCTTCTACTTCGAAAAATCCACAAATGACTAAACTCTTGTTAGATATGTAGACGCTGGTTTTCTCTCTGATCTGCATAAAGCCCGCTTACAAACTAGATATGTATTCACTAATAGAGATACAACAATATCATGGCGCTCAACAAAGTAAACATTAGTTGCTACACCTTCCAATCACTCAGAATACTTGCTTTACATGAAGCAAGTCGTGAATGTTCTTGGTTAAGATCAATGATCCATTATATCCCGAATTCATGTGGTTTACCTTCAAAGACAGACACCCCAACTATTATCCATGAAAATAATGCAGCTTGCGTTGCCCAAATAAAGGAAAGATTCATCAAGGGCGATAAGACTAAACATATATCTCCAAAGTTTTGCAGTGCACATAAGCTTCAGAAGGCTAAAGTTATTGAAGTCATACAAATCCGCTCCAATTAAAATCTACCAGACCTGTTCACCAAGTCTCTATCAAAGTGTACGTCTCAGAAGCTAGTGTAGGGAATCGGATTACGTTGGCTTATCAATCAACTAAATTTGAAGAATGCGGAATCAGAGTGAGATATAATTCAGGGGGAGCATCCATCATACATGCTTGTTATACTCTTTTTCCTTCGACTAGGATTTTTCTCACTGCGTTTTTCTATCAAGGTTTTAATGAGGCAACATAAGCATGCTTAACATTATATCAACAATCTGGGTAAAGTTGTACTCTTTTTCCTTTGCTATGGTTTTTTCCTACTGGGTTTTTCCAAGCAAGGTTTTAACAAGGCAACTAATATTGATATGTGGGCATCCAAGGGAGAGTGTTGTAATAATTGTAAGAATAATTGAATGCCCACATGGGAATAGTAGTGAATAGTAGGGAGTTTGTTGTGTGGTACTTTTTCAAAAGAGAAAAATCATGGATATTGTTGGCTTTGTCACGGGTGTGACTTTCCTTTCACTATAAACCTACGGATGTAGCTCTATAAATAGATCACTCTGTGGGTGATCAACACAGCAACTGAAAGTGAAAATTATTGAAAGTAATAATATCAGTATCCCTTCATTCCTCTTTTTATCTGCAATTCTTTTGTATTATAGTTACGAAACAAAACAATATGATATTTCGCACCCGTTTTGTTCATGTCTTTAACAAAGATTATCTCTCTAACTTTTGCCTATTTATAACAAAAATTAGTTTTGTTGGAGCATAATTCTTCACTTCTGGAATTAAATATTGTAACCTATACAAGATTACTGAACCTCGGGAGTGTAGGGGCACTTGTGTAATGCTAGCCAAGAATCATCTAAGATCAAGCCATTAAACTTGGTACAGTCTAGGCTCTAACAGTATGCTTCAAGCTTAGCAATTGAATTTCATTTATGAGCAAGGAGAACAATACAAATCAGGGAAATGTGGTTGAAACATTAACCTTAAAAAAAATAGAATGAGATTGTTTACACTAAAAATAATTTTTGAGCTTTGGTTTTGCCCTAATAAGATGATTCACAAAGAAAATTGAGTTTGAGCTTTTAATTTAGTCTAAAATAAACATTTCATGGTCCACATTACTTTTGACTTGTGAAAGGCAGTCTCAGTTTTCTCTCTTGCTAGGAACATTGAATGCAAAGTATTTTGGTATTTTTGGAGGGAAGGTGATCAGACATAAACCGCCTTCTCGATTAAGCTTAAGATAGATTCCCTACCCAGATATCTTGGATTACTTTACTATTGGTGCATTACTTTTTGGAAAATAATCCCAAGTTAGCTTCAAGTGAAGACATAGGAAGCATTGAAGAAGGAAGTGAAATGTAATATACAAGCAAAGATCTCAGAGCGAATGACACTCAAATCATTCAACAAAACAAGACGCAAGCTTTAAAACGAAATCTCTTTCCCTTTACTTGCTTCATTCCTTTTGGCTTGTCAAAAGACCACTTGAAACCAAAACATTAGAACTCTAAGATTCCTTCCTTTAGACTCTAAGACCAAATAGAATTGCTCTATTACCATCTCTTTGGATAATATCATTTTATCAGCCATTAGATAAGTTTGTCTCTTGGTTGAAACACTTTACAAGGAAGCATCTTTAACCCAATCCAACAACCTTGAAACCAATCCGATAAAAGTTTTGTCGATTGTTTTAAGTTCATTTGTGTATGTACTTGTTTTGTGATATTCAATATTACTAATATCAATTTCAGTGTTGTATTTACTGCTCTTGTTACTTACTGTGCTTACTTTCCTGTCATAAATGACTGAAGTGGTGTGTTTATATATAACATTATACCCCATCTTAGTAGTTTATGGTCTGACATCGAGAAACAATTAAAGTCTTTAACAAGCAAGCATTAAAAAGAATCAAACTTGAGCTAAACAGTGGAACAATCATTTGATCAAGAAGTTTTACTTACTTGTACGCAAGTATCGCATTTACATATAATCTATTCTAAACACAACATATCATTATGTTGACAGAAGTCAACGGTGGCATACCTTACAAACAACAAATTTAGGGATTTCTTAAGCCTCTTCGAACACCAAAGAATGAAGCTTACAAATACTAATAAACAAATTACTCAACGAGCCACTGTGTTTGTTTTTACCCAAACATATATCCATTTTTTTTATTTTGAGTGCCAATAGAAACTCTGAAAAAAAAAAAAAAAAATGCTCACCCATGTTGGGTTGTGCCATGGTTTGCACATTTCCCATATTGAAGACACATTCAGGTGGCCAAAAATTGATTCCATTTAGAAATGACTCGAAAACCCGGCCCATAGAGACTTTTTTTTTCAAAATAGCAAAAATACCCTTGATATCGTAACGCATTTTCTACCCGCGCCTATCCCCTTCTTTCTGACGGATCAGGATCCTCTCCTGGGCAAACCCATCAAACTGTTAAAATTTTACCCTTCAGCTACAAACGGTTATAAAAGTTATAATAAGGGATGTGATATTCACACACCTCATTTTACTTCTTACACACCTATTTTTTAATTTTTAGCCGTCGGATCGGTTAAATTGAAGAATATCAATGAACAAAAATTATCAAAGCGTGTGAGAAGTAAAATGCGGTGTGAATAATTGTAACCTCCAATGGCTTCTGCAAATGCCCAAGGGCTTCTGCAAATGCGCGTCAGATCTTCGTCAGCATTCTCTGGCTTCTCTTCCTCTCGCTCCCTTTTTCCTCCTCCGTCGAGCCCTCCAATGAGCTTTCTTTAGGTACTTTCTTTTCAATTCCCCATCAAGTTTTATTGCGCTTATCCAACTCAACGAAGTAATGAAATCTAGGGTTTTTAAGATAAACAGTCATATGAATCCCAAAACTGATTTTTTGTTTATAATGTTGGCGTATTGGGTTTCTGAGAATACCGAGTGAAAAGAAGAAGGTTTAAAATTTGAACCCATATTGTACAGGTTTTTGAAGTAAATGGGAGTAGAATTATTCATTTGGTTTCTTAATTTTTCTGAAGAATTAAGATTGTGGAAAATTTCAAATTTTGATTAGGAGTTGGTTTCTCATTGATTATGTCAAATTATTTTTTTTCTGATACGACTGCTACATTATAGTTGTTGGGTGTTTAAAATTGATTTTTCATTTGGGAACCAAAATGTGCCTGCATACTAGATCACAGCTTTTTCGGAACGTCTTGTGAAGGTTGAAAAAGGCTACTGAGATTAGTGGCTTTGAATTGTAGGCAGATAGAAATGACCTATTTGATGGTGGGTGTGAGAAGTTTTATACTTTTAACGTGTCATCCCTTTCTTATGCTTTTGATTTGCAGTTATTTCCGAGTCGGATGGGTTACAATTATCTCATGGGGTGCCAGTAAAAAAATTTCCTGGTTCCAAGCCCGGCATTTGGGTGCTGTGTGAACGTGTTCATGTCCGTGTACTTTCAAGTTTCATGGCTTAAAAATATTGGAAGTTTGCCAACACGGTGAAGGTGAAGGTATCAGGAACAAATTCAAGCACTCGTATACCGACCTTCGAGGTTTGTGTCCACTGGTGAGTCGTGAATATTATGGGTCATGTGAGTTTTTAATACTACTTGCCTGTCAGACACTGTGCATACAGGACTTACTTAACTGAATGAGAAGAAATTCATTATCATGCGATATGATAATACCATTGTCTCTGAAATATGTTTTGTATTGCTGTAAAGTTATTTCTGTGTGGAATGATCTGTTTTTTCTTTCGTTGCAGAAATACATCTCTTGGGATATGGATGTGTCCTCACAGCTCTCGGCAGAAGGTTCCCAAAGGCTCCTGGTCAAGGTCCATGTCACCTTTTGAGCACCAACTAATAGATGTATGGATTCATCCTTAGAGAGCTTGGAGGTGCCCATTGAAGAAGGTACCACTCCGGAGTCTAATGTGCACACGATTTTACCTCTTACTGTAATCCTTGCATTTGGTGACCAGTTCATTGAGCGTGTTCTTTGTTTTGCAGAATTTGTTAAATATCACGTAACATTTGTGATATTGGGCATAATCATGATGAGCTTGGCTTCCCTCCTGAGCAAGTCATTAGTATTTTATTACGGCAGTGGAATGGCAAATTGGGGTAGTCCTTGTAATATTGATGGTACTTTTTCAGGTAATGTAGTTGCCGTACTGATGTGATCCTTTTTCTTGATAAGATTGCTGAACGTCCAATGAAGTCCTTACATCATCCAAGATAATATAACTGAGTATGACGGTTTAATTTTTCTGGTTGTTTACAGGGGATGAAGCTTCTCCCAACTGGTCGGAAGAATTCTCTTGCAATTTTTGTGTACTCATCTGTGGTATGTACCAAACCTCAGTTAATTTACGTTTCTACACTTTTCATTTACATGATAATGATCAATGTAATTCTCATAATTTATCAGGTTGGTTTGGGATCTTTTCTCCTCAGCTACCTACCTGGGTTATTGCGCACACTACTCACAGAGATTGGAGTTAGCGAAGACATGTATAATCCTGTAAGTTATCTTGAATTATTCTTTTAGTTGCCCTACTATCTTCACCATAAAGAAAAATGCCTTCCTCTTTTTCCATCCAGATTATTTGATTGCATATGATTGTCATGTTTGGCTTGAGACCTTTATTTTTTAAATCAAATCATTCATGTTTTCCCGTTTTCTTGAATGTTTATATTTTGGTATTGTTGCTGAAGTATAGCTTGTTTACTCAGCCTTATATAGTGATAACCAATAAACAGCTTTCTATTAGGGGGAACAAATTTCCTCACATTGCATTGACTTGGGCATATAGTTGCATGCTTTGATGAAATATGAACTGGTAAACAATTTTTGCAATAAAGTATTAATTCATTTCATCTTTTTCTTTTGGGTTTTGACTGTACTCTGTATTCTTTTTCAGGTAAGATGTGCTTATAATTCTGCACTACTCCATTTCCCTTACCATCTTGGATTTTAGTTTTATTCAGGTGTGTACTAACTAATAATTGATGCGCACTGTCGGTTTTTTATGCAAACCATCTGATAATAATTATTCTTGCTCTGGCCTTGGTCAATTATGATTTATTCTCAAGATACACGTGAAATCACACCATTAGTCTATAGGCGAGTTATTATATATAGATTTGACGTTTTATATGTTGGGACTAATGCTTCTCTTTTTTTGGGTGGAAATAATTTACAAGTAGACTACACATTCTTCATTCTCTAATAATTAAGGAAATTCTCTCATAATTTGCAGCTGGCTATATTTCTTCTGGCTTTTGTTTTTCTGGCTGGAGCATGGTTGGGCTTCTGGGCAGTCCACAAATTGGTCCTGGCAGAAGATGGATCTATCGAGATAATGACATCTCAGTCTGTTAATTGGTCCATAAAAATTCTGGGTGCTACTGTGATTTTTCAGGTACGTTAGATAAGTCTACACTCGAAGTTTTCTCTATCAAAATTTCAACTTTGTTTCAGAGTTCTGTCGATCACCTACTGGCAACAGAAGCTATTGTAGTTGGATTCGTAGTCTCCGCTATACTAAAGAAAATTTTTAGATGGAGATTCCTTCGTCTTGTGTGCAAATATCTGGCTTTCCAATTCTGGAGCTTAGTCATCGCCTTCCAATATGTGCCAACATTTCCTTCGTCAGTATCTACTGGGTAAGTTAACCACCTTCATCGCAATCTAAGTAAACACCAAACAATCTTTAATTGAAGAGTGTTACGTAGGGGTCATCTCCAAATGTCTATAATTGTGTATGCGTGCGAATACCATAAATGTTTACTCAGTTTCTCAGTATTCTGGTAACCAAGGGACAATTTGTGCTTTGTTCATCTGATGCATGCCGGTCAATTGGTCTTTTTTGGAGTTATAGTAACATATATATTAGATGATATGCAGTATAGCATGTATGTTTCTTAACCTGCTTTTGATTTTTGCTATGTTTTTTGGGTTGTCAATCATGACATATATGGAATATCCTGCAGGAAATCGATTGAAAATACCCAAAAAGAACCACCGCAGATTGGAAATTTCTGATTCTCCACCTTCTCAACCGTCAGATACATGGTTATTTCCTTCTACTTTCCACACCACATCCGAAGGAGAAAAAAACAGAAATTTACGGCTTAATTTTCATGTATTGCATAATTTGGTATATAAGTACATACAGTCAGTCCTTGTTCTCCAAGGAAACAATGAAGGACACAAAGAGATATCCTTCCTAATAAAGGACTCTAATATTTACATTCCTATTTTCGTAAAGATTGACTCACGCCAATAGAAAAGACTCCAAGGAAGAGTGGGACGCAGTTCACCAGAGAGACAACAAAAGCCTTGCAAGAACTTGCTTCTTCTCCTGAGTATCACAGATGGTGCTCCTCAAATGTAGAAAGAATCAGTGTCGCCCCCTGAACCAATAGAAAAGTTTCTGATCAGCCGCTCCACTGGTGGCTCCTACGGTTGTGGTAAACAACCGGCATACAACATGCCCTCTGCGAAGTCAACATGGGCATGGTACACGCAAGAAAATGCTGCCGTAGTTCATAGTCGAGTTGGAAGAAAACAAAAATGTGTGGAACGGATCTGTAAAATTTTAGTATGGGCTCTAGAGGGTAGCAGGAAGGGTTACGATGTTGTAAAATTCATAGTTTTGTGCAGTTCATTATTTTTGAGCAACCTGAATGGAAAGGCTCTGTTCTTTTCTGACTCTACTCTAACTTGAAAGAAGGATGATTTTTTGAGCAACTTGAGTGGAAGGATCACTTTATCTCTCTCTCTCTCTCTCTCTCTCTCTCTATGCATGACATTGAAATCTAAAGATCATGTTTGATAATTATTTCGTTTTTAGGTTTCACTTTTTGGGCTGGAAATACGAGTGGGGTGTATTGGAGAAAGAAGAGATAGTAGAAGGGCGGTGGGAGGGGTAAAAAACAAAGAAGAATTGAATAAAGCCCTTGGTTTGCTTGTAATTTTGGGCTGCTTGTTTAATAAAAGTTGAGGGAGTTTTGGCTGTAGGTTTGCTATAGTCAAACTTTTTTCAAAACAAAACAAAAGACAAAAAAAAAAAAAAACAAAAACTTGTTATCTTAATCAAATGAATTACAAAAGAATCTCCTGTGAATACAAACACTCTTGTCAAAATGGGTCTACTTTTCGTTGAAACCGTGTCACCATCACTTGGTGTAACACTCTTTATCAAAAGAGAGACAATACACCATTAGTCATGTATCAGCTTAATGAATAACTAGCATTTGCCTATACACTTTGTGTGTATAAACATATTTTTTAGAAAATGAGAAGGAGAGAGGGAGAGAGAGAACGTGGGGGGAGTGGGAGGTTTTATTTTTTTTTTAATTTTTTTTTATAATATTAAAGGTAGTTTAACATCACCGGTAGGTGAGGTTTCAATAGAAAAACAATAAAATTTGGACATGTGAAATTACATTAGTGCCCATCTTTTTTTTTGTGTGACAGAAGACTAAGTTGTCTTTTCACCCTTTTTGGTTGACAAAGAGAATTTCATTAATTAGTAGAGATATTCCTTCCCCCAAAAAGAAATACCGATTTTTTTTCCATTTCTGGAATTGAGGCTTCAATTTCAAAAAAATTATTTCGTTAAAGAGTATTGAAGAAAATTGGGGTTCCACCATAAAACCAATTGTCAATATGAAGAGTAGTCCCACCTCTTATAAGCCCATGCAAGGTCTCTCCTCCCATTAATGTGGAACTCATTCTCAACACTCCTTCATGTGTGGCGAATTTTCGAGCCTAACAAGTGGACAACACAACAGGATGATGTAGAACACATGTGGCCATTTGGATTCACACATGGGACAACCTACCCTAATATCATGAAGAAAGTTGAGGTTCAACCATAAAACCAATTGGCAACATGAAAAGTAACCGAACCTCTTATAAGTTCATGCAAAGTCCCTCCTTCTTTCAATGTGGGACTTATTCTCAACATGCCCTCTCACGTGTGACAAATTTTCAAGTCTAACAAGTGGACAACACAATGGAGTGACGTGGACCGCGTGTGATTGTTTGGCTTCACACGTAGACAACCTACTCTGATACCATAAAGAAAGTTGGTGTTCCACAAAATATACTTAAAAATATTTCACAAAGACATTTTTGGAGTGTTGGAAAGACTGCATTTTCTCAAATAATTGTAATTATGTGTTTCAGCTATTTTTGTTATTGTTACGATAAACAAGCTCAAAGAGGGAAGATTGAAGACGTATTTTATAATTTGACCTTAACTGTACATGTGATGTTTGTTTGTTTGTTTTTTTTTTTTTTTTTTTTTTGGTCAAATAATAAATTTGTTAAATTAAATGTAAGATGAGCTAGCGAAGTTTGACAGTACATGCAATCTTTGTTGAATGCTCTTTAATTCGACTATTTTCTTCCATCCTTTTTTCCGAAGCAAAGAAAATTATCCTTTACTTAGCCAACTAAACAAGAATAAAGAATAAAGAATAAAGAATAAAGAATAAGACTAAACAAGAAACTAATTTTCTTTCTTAATCGAGTAAATAACATTTTTTTATTGCGTTAGATGATTTTTATTCGATTTGGAGGTAAAGATATTGCCCTCATTAGATATGCCCACCCATTTTATGGGCCAACAAACTTTTATATTTCTCTCCTCTTTTTGTGTGTATAATGCTCCGTGTGAAAACCGCGGCACACATCACAACCTCCTCTAAATAATCGGTTTCCTTTTGCTTCTGCTTGTTAGACTCCAAGCGAAACTTCGACACAGGTCCCAGTCCTCAAAATCTTCAGCCGACCTTCACAATTCTTATAAAATCCTCCAAATCTCTCAACTTTTTCAATTTTCGATCCAAACCCAGTTCTCAAATTTCTCCCGAGTCCTAAAAATATCCAGTCTTTTTTGTTTTTGTTGTAGAAGATGAGTTACTACAATCAGCAGCAAGCTCCAGTTGGTGTTCCTCCTCCACAAGGTATGAATCATGTCGATTTTACCTTTTGGGTCAGTTTTGTTTTGGTTCTTGGAATTTAATACTCATATTATTTATCGTTGGACAGGGTATCCTCCGAAGGATGCTTACCCTCCACAGGGTTACCCTCAGCAGGGGTATCCACCTGAACAGGGTTACCCTCCACAGGGGTACCCACCACAGCAGGGCTATGCTCCCCAGTATGCTCAGCAGCCCCCTCCTAGGAGAGAAAGTGACGGTTGCCTTCAAGGATGGTAAGCCGCCCCCCCCCCACTCCTCTCTCTCTCTCTCTCTCTCTCTCTCTCTCTCTCTCTAAATTCTTTGTCTAGATTATATTTTGTTTGATTGCAGAGTTTTCTGTTCTTAATCTCCACTTTTTATTTGGTTTCCTCTCATTTTATTTATTATTGATTATTGCCTAAAAATCTATGAAGGTTTTGCTCTTTTTTTTTTGTTTATTTTTTTATATAATTTTGCTAGTGATTTGTTGACTAAAACAATCTAAGAAGGTCTATTTTTATGGCTGAAGAAATTGACGATTGTTTGGTGGTCAAATATTTCTCCGCTTTTGTTTGTTTGTTTTGATTTCTTTTTAATAATATTCGAGTAATTTTTGTTGTGTAAAAGTCTTAAGAAATTGCAGTCTTTTATGCCTGAAGATATTGATGCTTAATTTACATGTTGGTTTTGAATGGGATACTTATTGGAGTTCGAACATAACCGGTCCCTTTTCGTATTGTTTCGTTTTCCTTTTCCTTGAAGTTAAAGCCTGATCAGCAACATTTGCGTACGATCTTTGACATGGTTTGTTTATGTACCGTGCAGTTTAGCAGCACTCTGCTGTTGTTGCCTCTTGGATGCTTGCTTCTGAGGGATATCTTGGCGATTTACTCATTCATGATTCAAGCTTATGATCAAGTATTAGTGTCTGGTGTTTAATAGTGTTGTTTAGTTTTGGAATATGTAATGCAGACTCGAGGAATTATATGTTGGATTTATGTGAGTAAATTTACGTTTTCGATTTGAATAACAGCAGGCTTATGTCAATTTTCGGCATCATCATTCTTATTTTTTGATCAATCAGTCAACCGTGATCAGCTATCGTTTATCAGCTGATTACGGTTTACTATGATTTAGTTATGCTTATTGAACCCATCACATTGTCTATATTTAACGGTTGAGAGCGAGTACGGCGTATCGACTCTCTCGGGGTTGCTTAAAAACAATTCTCATGAACAAAATGTGTTCATTTTGAAGTTACGTTGTTGTTTTCGCTTGTAAGTCTTATGTTTTGGTTTATTTTTTGGTTGGATGCCATGAATTGTCGTAGAATGGACGCATTCTCTAGCGCTTTCAGTCTTTTCCCACCCAAAGAAGAAGAATTTTGGTAGTGGATGGGCCTACCACTCGTGCCATTGTGGAGTACAGGCAAGTATAGTGCTTTTCTAATGTTTGGCGATGTGAATGAATTAGATATGTGTTGGTTGGGTGATATGAAGTTATCAACGACCTGATCGACGGGCATTTTAGTTCGAAAAGCAATTTTTTTTAGTTTTAAGTAAGAGCCTTAGGTTGAATTTTTGAACGATGAGTTCGATGCTAAATCATTGTTGATCCAAGCACAGTCGCCAAATATATCGTTTTATCAAATAAAAAATGATCGTTTAATTTGTTAGTTCCACACTAAAAAGGTTTGAATTTGATAGCTTTATGTGATATTTTGACATCTTTTAAATTTTGAACATATAATAAAAATTTATATTTATCTTCTCTGCATTGGTAATGAAAGAAAATGAATTAAAAAGTAAAAAAATATTTAAACATCGCATTGGTAATGAAAAGAAATAAAAACGAAACGTTTTAAATCAATAAAAAATTTAATAAAAAAGCATTTAATAAATTTTTTTTTCTGAAGCTGCTATCAAATTTGGCAGCATGGGGGAGATATTTTATTTCATGTCATGCCACATCAAATTTGGTTTCTCAATTGGAAAAGCATTGCTCCAGTCTTTTTTTTACCGTTATTGCTGATTTTGACATTTAGACATCTCATTAGGAAATGCTCCTAGTTAGTAAACGAGGTCTTTTGTTGTAAGGATAATGTTAGGGAGACTAAATTTTTAAACCAAATGATATCCACCATTAAGAAATAAGCATCTTAATCACCACTTAATTAATTATCCAATCATTTACAACTACATCATTTGATTTAAAAATTTTGATCTCCGTAACATTATCCTTGTTGTAAACCCTCTTCAATTTATTTTTTCTTCTGAGAGCATTGGTTTTGTGTTATAAGTAACGAATTGTAACTTTGGCGTTGAATTAAGAAATCATTAAAACGAGTACAAAATTTGACAAATTGAGAGGCATTCATCATTGACCTCAATTCCATGAGAATTTTTCGTCATGTAAGTTGCACGCGTTTAAAAAGGAGCATAGTTACCAAACAAAACTTCTATACATAAAGCCGGAAGCCCCCATTCGGGGTCACGGGCGGCTTCACCAAAAAATAATGGGACAAAAATGCCTTTCAAATAAAAAAAGTTCAAAAATAGCAAAAAAAAAAAAAAATACAAAGGTAATTTTAGTCATAAAAAGAATTTTTTTTTTTGAGTTTTAATTTTTTATAATTAATAATAATGGGATAGAAATGCCCTCCAAACAAAAAAGTTCAAAAGCAACCAAAAATAATGCAAAGGTAATTTGGTAATTTTAGTCACAACAAAGATTTTTATTTTTTTAAGTTATTATTTTTTTAATTTTTTATAATTAGTA